GGGAAGTGTCCTTGGTCCCCTGCTCTTCCTCATATACATCAGTGATCTTCCAAACGTATCCCAACACCTGAAACCCATTCTCTTTGCTGACGACACGACTTATGTCATCTCTCACCCTAATCTTGCCACCCTCAACACCATTGTTAATGAGGAGCTGATCAAAATATCGACTTGGATGACAGCCAATAAACTTACGCTTAACACTGACAAAACTACTATATTATGTTTGGTAGCAGAGCAGGAGATGCACAAATTAACATTAAGATCGAGAACACTCTAGTTACCAGTCATAATGAGGGTAAATTCCTAGGCCTATACCTTGACAACAACCTGAATTTCAGCACCCATATCCAACACATAACCAAAAAAGTATCCAAAACAGTTGGGATCCTCTCCAAGATACGATACTACGTGCTGCAAAATGCCCTTCTCACACTATACCACTCACTTATTTATCCATACCTCACCTATGCTATTTGTGCTTGGGGATCAACTGCAGCAACACACCTAAAGCCAATAATAACCCAACAAAAAGCTGCAGTAAGAATAATCACTAAACCCCATCCCTGGAAAACCCCAACCCCCCACTCTTCATAGATCTAAACTTACTCCCTGTTCAGTACATCACTCTTACTACTGTGAAAATCTACATCTACGGGGCCTTAAACTCAAATATCAACCTTGACCTAAAACCTTTCTTGTTAGTTGTGACAGAACCCACAGGCATAACACCAGACACAAACATCTCTACGACATTCCCCGTGTCCGACTAAACCTTTACAAAAATTCAATGTATGTAAAAGGCCCTAAAATCTGGAACCCCTTACTGAGAACTCTAGAACTGCAGACACATTCATCACCTTCAAAACTACCATTAGAAAACATCTTATCTCCCTGATACACCCCATCAACTAACTACACGAATACCACCTGGTGGTTCACACTTACACTCACTCACCCATTTGACCTATAAACAGAAATATTAATCTCAATCTTAAAATAATGAATCCTGTGATTCTCCAATACTGAAACTATGTACTGTGCCAAAACAAAAGCATTCACATTGCTAAACTCACAAACTAGTATTTAGTCACTTAGCCATAATACCAACTTACCTCATAATTTGTAATATTTTAAAATTAAGAATTAAACTAAGTCTGCCCGAAATGCCTAGCCATGCTAGGTGTTCTAGTGGTACACTCTGTAATCATTATTTTACTACATGTAAACCACACAATAACCAAATTCTGTAAACTCAGCATTGTAATCCTCATAGAGAATAAACTTTGAAAAGTGCAGGAAACAGATATTATTGCTATAACAGAGACCTGGCTCAGTCTGAAAGATAGAGAGATGCCCTCTGAATGTCACATACAAGGCTATAAATTATTCCACACTGACAGGGTCAACAGGAAAGGTGGTGGAGTAGCGATGTATGTCAGAGACAATTTAAATTGTTGTGTTAGACAAGATATAAAATTAGAAGCGTCAGCCACTGAATCTGTTTGGTTACAGCTTCTCGAGGGCTGAGAAAAACTAATTTTGGGTGTGATTTACAGGGCCCCAAATCTTGATAGGGAGTGCAGTAAACTTCTATGGGACGAAATTCGTAAGGCATCTACATACGAAAATGTTGTGCTAATGGGAGATTTCAACTATAGACAGATTGACTGGAGCAATTTGACAGGAAATTTAGAGTCAGGTGACTTTCTTGATATGTTCCAGGATTGTTTTTTAAAACAGTTTGTGACAGAGCCAACTAGGGGAAATAACCTCCTTGACTTGGTTCTTGCCAGTAGGGAAACACTAATTAATAATCTTGAGGTTAATGATGAGCTTGGGGAAAGTGATCACAAATCACTCAGTTTTATATATCATGGAATTCCCCTATAATGGCAATCAAGTCTCTGTGCCTGACTTCCGCTTGGCTGATTTCATAGGACTGAAAAATTACTTAGGTGGGCTGAACTGGAATGACCTGACTAAGGGTCAGGTAGGTGGTGATGGATGCCGATATGATGCTTTCCAGGGCATAGTTCTAGCTGCTCAGTCAAATTATGTTCCAAATAGGGAAATCAGATCAAACAAAAATGATCCTAAATGGATGAACAATAGATTAAAATATCTAATTGGTCAAAAGAGAGGCATATATATAGGCAAATCAAAAGAGGAGAGGGGCAGTTAAGAAATCGATATATTCAGTTAAAGAGAGAAATAAAAAAAGGAATTAGAAAAGCAAAAAGAGATTGTGAGGTTAAAGTTGCAAGAGATTTGAAGACTAACCCAAAAGGATTTTTTCAGGTATACAGAAGTAAGATCAAGGACAAGATAGGCCCACTCAAAAGTTCCTCGGGTCAGCTCACTGACAGTGATAAGGAAATGTGTAGAAGTTTTAACACATACATCCTCTCAGTTTTTACACAGGAGGATACCAGCGATATTCCAGTAATGATAAATTACGTAGAACAGGACGATAATAAACTGTGCACGATTAGGGTCACAAGTGACATGGTCCTTAGGCAAATAGATAAATTAAAACCTAACAAATCCCCAGGCCCTGATGAACTGAATGCAAGGGTTCTAAAGGAATGTAAAGAGGAGCTTAGCACACCTTTGGCTAATCTTTTCAACATATCACTACAAACTGGCATGGTGCCAGAAAAGTGGAAAATGGCAAATGTGATACCTATTTTCAAAGCAGGTGACAGGTCCTTAGCTTTAAACTATAGACCAATAAGCCTAACCTCCATAGTGGGAAAATTTATGGAATCAATAATTGCCGAGGCAATTCGTAGCCACCTTGAAAAGCATAAATTAATCAACGAATCTCAGCATGGTTTTACAAAGGGGCGTTCCTGCCTTATGAATTTGTTAACTTTTTTCACTAAGGTATTTGAGAGGTAGATCATGGTAATGAATATGATATTGTGTATATGGACTTCAGTAAGGCTTTTGACAGGGTCCCACATCAGAGACTATTGAGGAAAATTAAGGCACATGGAATAGGAGGAGAAATTTTTTCCTGGATAGAGGCATGGTTGACAAATAGGCAGCAGAGAGTTTGCATAAATTGGGAGAAATCAGAGTGGGGAAGCGTCACGAGCGGTGTTCCACAGGGGTCAGTGTTGGCTCCCTGCTGTTCACAATATACATAAACGACATAGATGAGGGCATAAAGAGCGACATCAACAAGTTTGCCGATGACACCAAAATAGGCCGTCGAATTCATTCTGACGAGGACATTAGAGCACTCCAGGAAGATTTGAGTAGACTGATGCAGTGGTCGGAGAGGTGGCAGATGCAGTTTAATATAGACAAATGCAAAGTTCTAAATGTTGGACAGGACAATAACCATGCCACATATAACTAAATAATGTAGATCTTAATATTACGGATTGCGAAAAAGATTTAGGAGTTCTGGTTAGCAGTAATCTGAAACCAAGACAACAGTGCATAAGTGTTCGCAATAAAGTTAATAGAATCCTTGGCTTCATATCAAGAAGCATAAATAATAGGAGTCCTCAGGTTGTTCTTTTTTTTTTTATTTTATTATCTACACCGGCGATTCCACCAAGGCATGGTTGGCCCGAAAAGAAAAACTTTACAATCATTCACTCCATCACTGTTTGCCAGAAGGGTGCTTTAAACTACAGGTTTTTAACTGCAACATAAACCTCCTTCAGAGGTGCAGGCACTAGTGTATTCCCATCTAAGGACTAAAGTCCGGCCTGAAGGTTTCTCAGGATCCTTCATAAATGTTCTTTTGCTCACACTCACAGAGTTCAGTATTAAAAACCATTTGTCTATGCACTCCATATCAATAACGCTCACAGCATGCTGCTGGAAGTCCAAGCCCTCGCACACAAAATCCTTTACCCCTCCCTCAACCTTCCTAGGCGACCCTACCCCGCTTCCTTCCATACAAATGAACCCCTCTTGAGTCATTCTGTTTCGCTCATTCTCTACACTTTCCAACCACCTCAACAACCCCTTTCCTCAGCCCTCTTTGGGCACAGTTTTGTAATCCCGCACTCCCCCTAACATCCAAACTACGATTCCTGCATTATTATTCACACCAAATTCCCCCAAAATGACACCCATAGCCCCCCCCGGAACATTTCCCCCAGGCCCCCCCATTAAAAGAGCTGGAAAATTTTATAACCCTTTTGGGGGGGGGGGGGACAAAGCTTTTAAGACCCAATGCAATTTTTTCCCTAAATTTTGACACCCCAATAACCATGCAAACCCAAAATATTAATTTTTATCTTATTTTAAGGAATTTTTCAAAATTTTTTGTTACCTATAACCACCCTGTTTCCCAAAATTTCTTCTTTTAAAACCACCAAATTATCCCAAATTCTTAAAACTTAAAACCTTGGTTAGGCCTCTTTTAGATTATGCTGCACATTTTTGGTCCCCGTTTTACAGAATGGAAATAAAGCTCTGGAAAATGTACAAAGGGGATGACAAATTTGACCCCATGTATCAAAAACCTTTCCTATGAGGATAGACAAAGGGCCCCTGAATCTTCACCTCAAAAAGAATAGAATTGGGGGGGATAGATTGAGGGTTAAATCGAAGACAGGAATAAAAAAAGGGGAGAAATAGTGTGCTAAAAAAATATTACCCTAACGGACCGCAGCAATGGTTTTAAAGTTAGAAAAATTTCAGATTCAGGGGATATGGGAAAAGTACGGTTTGGAAATAGAGTTGTGGTGAGTGGAAAAAATTTCCAAGTACAGTTTTGGGGCCAAAAGTTGTTTTTACTTTAAGAATAGGTTGGATAAAAATGATGGGTGGGGTGGGTGTGAGTTGGACCTGATTAGCTTGTGCTAACAGGACGGTTGCCGTGTTCCTCCCTTAAGTCAATGTGACCTGACCTGACTAGGTTGGGTGCATTGGCTTAAGCCGGTAGGAGACTTGGACCTTCCTCGCATGGGCCAGTAGGCCTGCTGCATTGTTCCTTCGTTCTTATGTTCTTATGCTTTATCCTGGTACAGGAGTAACTTGGTGGAGTTCCAGGGTCATCTTACTGGTAAGGGTGTTCATCTGCTGCCTCCCAGCCTCAAGTACCTCTCCCTGCATGTGTTGAGTGACGACCATGCTCACAGCCTCCTACCACAGCTGCACCATGCTATCACGTCCACACTACATCAGCTGGTGTACCTAAGTGAGTATCTCACTGGCTTTTAATGACTGGTTTTTAACAACCGGATTTTAACAGCTGATTTTTAATGACAGGTGACTTCTCCATAGAATTTTTAAGGTACATGGTGGTTTCTTACAATTTGTGATAAATACGGAGTTTCACAAGTCTGGGCCCGGGGCAGAGTGCATGAGCATGATGTTAAGTGGCTTTTTTGTAGTTGAGTAAGGTTGGGGTTATATCAGAAATTTTGGAGATGTCCACAGAGAATTGAGACACTCATTAAAAGTTTGTGTGAATTATCAATTATTAAATAATGTCTATTGAGTGATATTCAGCTTGTTTCTTAATTGTTAGTGTAAATTTCATCTTGTTTAAGCAAACTTCAATTCATTACATGTTTTTTCTATATTTTGCATGTGAGAAAAAGTATTTAGGATTTCTTTTAATTTTATTAACCCTTTGACTTTCGGTCATATATATGTCTTACGAGGTACCATGTTTGACGTATATATACTCATAAATTCTAGCGGCTTCAAATCAAGCAGGAGAAAGCTGGTAGGCCTCATGTGAGAGAATGGGTCTGTGTGGTCAGTGTGCACCATATAAAAAAATCCTGCAGCACGCAGTGCATAATGAGAAAAAAAACTCCAACTTTTTTTTTTTAATTAAAACGTTGAATTTGTGGTCTATTTTTGTATAGTATTTATGGTTGTATTCTCATTTTCTTGGTCTCATTTGATAGACTGGAAAACATATTATAGAAATAGAGGTAATTTTGATTGATTTTACTATGAAAAGAACCTTGAAATGGACTCAAATTTGGGGAAATGTTGATTTTTTCCAAAGTTCAAAAGTTTAAAAAAATGATGCCCTTGTCCAATAAATGTCCAATAGCCATTCTAATATGCAGTCATGAATGGGGTTTATGTTATTTATACAATTATTCAATATTGCAATAGTCTGCATAACAGTAAATCTTCATTTTTTGTTTGAATAAAAATTCAAATAGAAAGCAAGAGTAATATCAGAGGGTTGGAGACATGACTGATGAACAAAGAAAAAGTTTTTTTAGGCCAGGAATGTCTGCATTGTTCATTCTGGACACTATTTTGAAATTGTCATATTTTTTAATTTGCATGAAATTGGCCAAATTGCAAATTTCTGACCACTATTGGGTAGTTGAAATTGGGAAATGGGTTGTTTCTTGTACTCAATCTATAGAGCAAGAATTTGGGGTTCTAAAGAAAAAAGTTATGAGTTTTTGGGCGACTTGGGAAAAATGGAATTAACCGAAAATAGGGCTTAAAGTGGGGGAAATCGCCAATTCATTAATATCGCTGAGGTCGCTAACTTTGCGAGAGTGTAATTCCGTAAGTTTCCATCAAATTTCATACTTTTGGTGTCATTACCATCGGGAAAAGATTCTGTATCATTTCAGAATAAAAAATATTTTTATTTTTTTTTTTAATTTTTGCGACACCAGGAGACACCTCAGGATTTGGGGTTGCGACAGTCAAGGGGTTAATGATTTTTTTGCTACACAGATAACCCGCACATAGGAGAATGAAACTTACGATGATGTTTTGGTCCAACCCGAACTAGTCAGTGGTCAAGGTCAGACCAGAACATTGTGACACATTTCAGTCGGGATATTGTGTATTGTTCCACTCACAGTATTGTGCATTTTTATTCTTTAAAGTCAAGGATATTTTCAAATCTGGTCAGGTCCACTATTCACTTTGTTTAGGTGTATTTATCTCATGGTGTGAGTATAGTGTACCACTGCAGGTGTGAAAGTAACAGGAGGAGTGTCAGCAGCAGCGCTGACATCACTACCCAGCACACCACGAGTGGAACTGGTGTTGGTTGACCTGAGTGATGCTAGTGTGAATGATGCAAGTAATGTGATCAAGGCACTGAAACCAACAGGAGGGTGAGTACTTTCACAAGTGTATACCCTTCATTAGGTGGTGTGAATGATATAAGTAATATGGTCCAGGAGCTGCAACCACAAAGAGGGTGAGCACCTTCACAAGTGTGTACCCTTCAGTAGGTGGTGTGAATGATACAAGTAATGTGGTCCAGGAGCTGCAACGACAAAGACGGTGAGTACCTTCACTCTTGTCTACCCTTCGTAGGTGGTGTGAATGATGTGAGTAACATGGTCCAGGAGCTGCAACCACTAGGAGGGTGAGTACCTTCACAAGTGTGTACCATTCAATAGGTGGTATAAATGATGCAAATAATGTGGTCCAGGAGCTGCAACCACCGAGAGGGTGAGTACCTTCACTCTTGTGTACTCTTCAGTGGTGGTATGTTGACACCAGTGGTAGGCTCTTGATTCAAGGAACTGGAAATTAAATAACCTTTCTTTGGATGTTATGAGTCTAGCTGTTTGCAATTAATATAATAATAATAATACCGTACTAATAATAATATTCACAATATATTTTGCAATTTTTGATGGATCAGAGTAGTTACAAGGCCTATGGAAGCCAGTCCCCTCAAGGAAGGCTCCTTGACGCTGGTGAGGGGCTCTTGATCTAGGGAATTGGATCTGTGCTCCAGTTGGATCTGTGCTCCAGTTCCCTGAATTAAGCCTGAATGCCTTCCATCCCCCCATAGGAGCTGTATAATCCTACGGGTTTAGTGCTTCCCCCTTGATTATAATAATAATAATAATAATATGGAAGCCAGTTGTAAGATCTATGAAGGCCAGTTGTAAGGACTTGGAAGCCAGTTGTAAAGACTCGGAAGCCAGTTGTAAAGACTCGGAAGCCAGTTGTAAAGACTCGGAAGCCAGTTGCAAAGACTCGGAAGCCAGTTGTAAAGACTCGGAAGCCAGTTGTAAAGACTCGGAAGCCAGTTGTAAAGACTCGGAAGCCAGTTGTAAAGACTCGGAAGCCAGTTGTAAAGACTCGGAAGCCAGTTGCAAAGACTCGGAAGCCAGTTGTAAAGACTCGGAAGCCAGTTGTAAAGACTCGGAAGCCAGTTGCAAAGACTCGGAAGCCAGTTGTAAAGACTCGGAAGCCAGTTGTAAAGACTCGGAAGACAGATGTAGGGCCTATGGCAGCCACACACCCTGTGAAATAATAGTAAGAACATGCTTCCACATACCTTGCAAGTTTATGTTATCGCCGTTCGTAAGAGATGACAAGAACACTGCATCACTGCTGGTGATACCTGACATGTGTCTAACTTAAGTAGTCTTTAAGTATTACGTTAAGTCCGCCTCAAATGCCTCGGCATGGTAGTGGCTTTCTTTGTACCAGACATATTATGAAGTGTAAACACACGGTGTAACCTTAGCAAAGAAATAATTTTTTTTTTTTGAGTGATGGTGCTGAGTAGCTGGTAGCTACCAGTGTGTAGTGTGGAGCAGCTGGTAGCTACCAGTGTGTAGTGTGGAGCAGCTGGTAGCTACCAGTGTGTAGTGTGGAGCAGCTGGTAGCTACCAGTGTGTAGTGTGGAGTAGCTGGTAGCTACCAGTGTGTAGTGTGGAGTAGCAGGTACCTACCAGTGTGTAGGTGTGGAGTAGCAGGTAGCTATCAGTGTGTAGTGTGGAGCAGCTGGTAGCTACCAGTGTGTAGTGTGGAGCAGCTGGTAGCTACCAGTGTGTAGTGTGGAGCAGCTGGTAGCTACCAGTGTGTAGTGTGGAGCAGCTGGTAGCTACCAGTGTGTAGTGTGGAGCAGCTGGTAGCTACCAGTGTGTAGTGTGGAGCAGTTTGGTAGCTACCAGTGTGTAGTGTGGAGCAGCTGGTAGCTACTAGTGTGTAGTGTGGAGCAGCTGGTAGCTACTAGTGTGTAGTGTGGAGCAGCTGGTAGCTACCAGTGTGTAGTGTGGAGCAGCTGGTAGCTACCAGTGTGTAGTGTGGAGCAGCTGGTAGCTACCAGTGTGTATTTGTGGAGCAGCTGGTAGCTACCAGTGTGTAGTGTGGAGCAGCTGGTAGCTACCAGTGTGTAGTGTGGAGCAGCTGGTAGCTACCAGTGTGCAGTGTGGAGCAGCTGGTAGCTACCAGTGTGTAGGTGTGGAGTAGCAGGTAGCTACCAGTGTGTAGGTGTGGAGTAGCAGGTAGCTACCTGTGTGTAGGTGTGGAGTAGCAGGTAGCTACCAGTGTGTAGGTGTGGAGTAGCAGGTAGCTACCAGTGTGTAGGTGTGGAGTAGCATGTAGCTACCACTGTGTAGGTGTGGAGTAGCAGGTAGCTACCAGTGTGTAGGTGTGGAGTAGCAGGTAGCTATCAGTGCATAGGTGTGGATTAGCAGATAGCTACCAGTGTGTAGGTGTGGAATAGCAGGTAGCTACCAGTGTGTAGGAGTGGAGTAGCAGGTAGCTACCAGTGAGTAGGTGTGGAGTAGCAGGTAGCCACCAGTGTGTAGGTGTGGAGTAGCAGGTAGCTACCAGTGTGTAGGTGTGGAGTAGCAGGTAGCTACCAGTGTGTAGGTATGGGGTAGCAGGTAGCTACCAGTGCATAGGTGTGGAGTAGCAGGTAGCTACCAGTTTGTAGGTGTGGAGTAGCAGGTAGCTACCAATGTGTAGTGTGGAGTAGCAGGTAGCTACCAGTGTGTAGGAGTGGAGTAGCAGGTAGCTATCAGTGAGTAGGTGTGGAGTAGCAGGTAGCTACCAGTGTGTAGGTGTGGAGTAGCAGGTAGCTACCAGTGTGTAGGTGTGGAGTAGCAGGTAGCTACCAGTGTGTAGGTGTGGAGTAGCAGATAGCTACCATTGTGTAGGTGTGGAGTAGCAGGTAGCTACCAGTGTGTAGGTGTGGAGTAGCAGGTAGCTACCAGTGCATAGGTGTGGAGTAGCAGGTAGCTACCAGTGTGTAGGTGTGGAGTAGCAGGTAGCTACCAGTGTGTAGGTGTGGAGTAGTGGGTAGCTACCTGTGTGTAGGTGTGAAGTAGCAGGTAGCTATCAGTGTGTAGGTGTGGAGTAGCAAGTAGCTACCAGTGTGTAGGTGTTGAGTAGCAGGTAGCTACCAATGTGTAGGTGTGGAGTAGCAGGTAGCAACCAGTGTGTAGGTGTGGAGTAGCAGGTAGCTACCAGTGTGTAGGTATGGAGTAGCAGGTAGCTTCCAGTGCATAGGTGTGGATTAGCAGATAGCTACCAGTGTGTAGGTGTGGAGTAGCAGGTAGCTACCAGTGTGTAGGTGTGGAATAGCAGGTAGCTACCGGTGTGTAGGCGTGGTGTAGCAAGTAGCTACCAGTGTGTAGATGTGGAGTAACAGGTAGCTACCAGTGTGTAGGTGTGGAGTAGCAAGTAGCTACCAGTGTGTAGGTGTGGGGTAACAGGTAGCTGCTAGTGTGTAGGTGTGGGGTAACAGGTAGCTACTAGTGTGTAAGTGTGGGGTAACAGGTAGCTACTAGTGTGTTGGTGTGGGATAACAGGTAGCTACCAGTGTGTAGGTGTGGAGTAGCAGGTAGCTACCAATGTGTAGGTGTGGAGTAGCAGGTAGCTACCAGTGTGTAGGTGTGGAGTAGCAGGTAGCTACCAGTGTGTAGGTGTGGAGTAGCAAGTAGCTACCAGTGTGTAGATGTGGAGTAACAGGTAGCTACCATTGTGTAGGTGTGGAGTAACAGGTAGCTACCAGTGTGTAGGTGTGGAGTAGCAGGTAGCTACCAGTGTGTAGGTGTAGAGTAGCAGGTAGCTACCAGTGTGTAGGTATGGAGTAGCAGGTAGCTACCAGTGTGTAGGTGTGGAGTAGCAGGTACCTACCAGTGTGTAGGTATGGAGTAGCAAGTAGCTACCAGTGTGTAGGTGTGGGGTAACAGGTAGCTACTAGTGTGTAGGTGTGGGGTAATAGGTAGCTTCAAGTGTGTAGGTGTGGGGTAACAGGTAGCTACTAGTGTGTTGGTGTGGGATAACAGGTAGCTACCAGTGTGTAGGTTTGGAGTAGCAGGTAGCTACCAATGTGTAGGTGTGGAGTAGCAGGTAGCTACCAGTGTGTATGTGTGGAGTAACAGGTAGCTACCAGTGTGTAGGTGTGTAGTAGCAGGTAGCTACCAGTGTGTAGGTGTAGAGTAGCAGGTAGCTACCAGTGTGTAGGTATGGAGTTGCAGGTAGCTACCAGTGTGTAGGTATGGAGTAGCAAGTAGCTACCAGTGTGTAGGTGTGGGGTAACAGGTAGCTACTAGTGTGTAGGTGTGGGGTAACAGGTAGCTACAAGTGTGTAGGTATGGGATAACAGGTAGCTACTAGTGTGTTGGTGTGGGATAACAGGTAGCTACTAGTGTGTAGGTGTGGGGTAACAGGTAGCTACTAGTGTGTAGGTGTGGGATAACAGGTAGCTACTAGTGTGTTGGTGTGGGATAACAGGTAGCTACTAGTGTGTAGGTGTGGGGTAACAGGTAGCTACTAGTGTGTAGGTGTGGGATAACAGGTAGCTACTAGTGTGTTGGTGTGGGATAACAGGTAGCTACCAGTGTGTAGGTGTGGAACAGCTAACTACAAGTGTGGTGAATATCTGAAGTCTTCATGTATAAACTTCATCAGGTTCGTGACCTGGCTGCAGCATCCCACAGTGGCTGATGAGCGATCGGCATGATTGGTTGGCCACACTGCGATTCTTTATGGTGTGCAACTTGGTCCTGATACAGTGACCAGTGCCAGGTAATGCACTGCCAGGTAATGCACTGAAGGCTACTTATCAGGGTGAAGCTGGGTGACCACAGTTATGAACTGTATGTCCAAGATAGACATTGTCTTGAGTGAATTTTCTACATATCATCTTAAGGCATTAAATGTTCCAGTGAGTGTGTCTAAATTAGATAAATTTAGACATAACCTGGAGACCTGGAGTTTACCTGGAGAGGGTTTCGGGGGTCAACGCCCCCACGGCCAAGTACTGGTTATCAAATAGAATTGTCAATGCGTGGAACAATCTGCCGAGCATGGTAATAGCAGCTAAAACCTTGGGCAGCTCTAAAACGAGAGATTGTGATGAATTGATTAAGTCTTGTGTTGTTGAATAACTTTTGAGATATTATGTAATATAGAGCACATGTGTCTGGTCTTGCTAATGTCAAAGTCAACCATGCAATGCAGTTTGTGATGCATATTTGACGTGCCTCGTCATGTTCACTGGGTTTTCACGATGTGGATGTGGGTGATGCTACACCTATTAAGCAGCAACCATATTGTGCTAGCCCAGCCATGACTAATGTGTTGCAGGATCAGGTCTGTTTGTTACTGGAAAGTGTTCTCATAGAAGTCTATGATCACTCTGCATTCTTGTCCCTAAGCCAGATGGAACGACATACGTCCACATATTACTATAAGGCAAACACTGTTACTAATCCTGATGGATTTGGTTTTGCCTGTAAGCCATGCTGAGTACAGTGGAACCTCGGCACTCAAACTTAATTTGTTCCAGAAGGCTGTTTGAGTGCTGATCTGTCCAAGTACTGAACGAATTTTTCCCAACAATTTTCTTTTTGGTTGGCTGTTATCACTAACCCTCTTAGGCCCCATGGTGACTTATTTAAACAAATAATATAAGGATGCAAGGAAACGCAAAATAGTTTACAGAGAAGTTCTGGCAGGTTGTGTTTGTTTGGTCGAGTGCCGAGCAAATGGTCAACTATCGAGTACCGAACAAAGCCTCTGAATACCGAATTGTTCGAGTACGGAGCTGTTCGAATACTGAAGTTCCACTGTACCTGTCTAAACTGGATCTCTATTAGTCACCAGCTAACAATATACAGCCTCTCCTCACTTAACAACAGAGTTCCATTCCTAAGACCACGTCGGTAAATGAATTCACTGCTAAGTGAAGAGCATACTGTAATGGTAGTGGGTTTGTGTCAGTCATCTTTGATATTGTTTTAATGTCACTTTGCACCATTTATAACATTTCTGGTATACGTATTTTTAAATGTTTATCCAGTAGTGTACTCTACATTGTAATAAACAGAATAGAGGAGCTCAGCCCTAATATACATTATTTAAGTATGTATAGTGGTCAGAGAGCCTGTCGTAAGTCCGAAGCATCGGTAAATGAGTACAGTGGACCCCCGCATAACGATGGCATCACATAGCGATTTTTCCGCATACCGATTACTTTTATCGCAAAATTTTTGCCGCGCATACCGATTAAAAACCCGCTTACCGATTTTCGTCCGAGACGCGTCCAATGTGCCCTCACATGTGCCGGCCGTCCCATTGTTTACCAGCCAGCCTCCGCGGTAACATCCAAGCATACACTCGGAATATTTCGTATTATTACAGTGTTTTCGGTGCTGTTTCTGGAAAATAAGTGACCATGGGCCCCAAGAAAGCTTCTAGTGCCAACCCTGTGGTAAAAAGGGTGAGAATTAGTATGGAAATTAAGAAAGATTTTGAAGGGTTTGGGCTAACCCTGAGAAGCCTATGCCAGTTGTGGAATCCATTGTGCCTACTTCAAAGATTAAGGAAATGTGTGCACAGTGGGTTGAACTGCAAACCTTTATAGATGAAAATCACCCTGACACAGCTGTTGCAAGCCGTGCTGGTGACTATTTCAATGACAATGTTATGGCCCATTTTAGGAAAGTCTTGAAGGAACGGGAGGTACAGAGCTCTATGGACAGATTTGTTGTGCGACAGAGGTCCAGTGACTCTCAAGCTGGTCCTAGTGGCATTAAAAGAAGAAGGGAAAGTAACCCCCAGAAAAGGACTTGCTACCTCAAGTCCTAATGGAAGGGGATTCCCCTTCTAAACAGTAAGAAGATAATGCTCTCCCCTCCTCCCATCCCATCAATCATCACCAGATCTTCAATAAAAGTAAGTGTCATTTAATTGTGCATGCCTTTTTCAGTTTGTGTGTATTAAAATTAACATTTCATGTGGTAAAAAAAAATTTTTTTCATACTTTTGGGCGTCTTGCACGGATTAATTTTATTTCCATTATTTCTTATGGGGAAAATTCATTCGCATAACGATTATTTCGCATAACGATGAACCCTCTTGCACGGATTAAAATCGTTAACCGGGGGTCCACTGTATGTTGCTAAGTGAGGAGAGGCTGTACAGTAGTATTTTTGGTGAGGTAGTGTTTATTTGTATATACATTCACAGCAGTGTGTTGTATGCTAGGCCTGCCAGGCCTATAGCCTGATGAAAGAATTGAGCACTCATCCAGGTGCAAAGGGCATCTGGCGGTTAGTGAGAACGAGTCAGGATGTCATGGAGTGAGTCTAGGTAGAACTAGGCCTACGCTAGATGACAGCACCAACAATAGCGGCCGTGACACAGAAAATGAACCCAGCAGTGGTTACAATAATGATAAATACACCATGACTTGTATTTTTTTTTTTACACTCTTTGTAAACGATTTTTATAGTGAGTGGTGATCACTAAGACATTTCTGGTAAATTTTCCTCAGGGCAAAGCTATCTGCCCAGCCAGTTTATGTTGGGACGCTGATATCACAGTGACCACAAATTAAATTTTTGTGTCATTAGCTTGTAGAGAAAAATTTACCTTGCATTTCAGTCAGGAATATCCACCTTAATGTTGGTTTACTATTGTTTATTGTTGTAAACAATACATTTAGCAATGATAGAGACTTTCCATGTTAAGTTAGGAAATTAAATTAGGAAAGTGTTAATAGCTACTAGCAGGAGGTTTACTAGATTAGGCATTATATTAACTTGCCATACAACAATAATAAATTTAAAAAATTATTAGCTTGATAGTTTTTTAGGATTAAAAAAAATCTTTGGTGTGTTTATAAAAAAAAACTTTAGGCTTCTTATAATATAGGCTTACACAAGGCAGGTGTATATGAGCATGTACAATAGTAACTACAGGCATATATGAGCATGTACAATAGTAACTACAGGCATATGAGCATGTACAATAGTAACTACAGGCATATATGAGCATGTACAATAGTAACTACAGGCATATATGAAGGTTTACAGTAGTAATTACAGGCATATATGAGCATGTACAATAGTAACTACAGGCATATATGAGCATGTACAATAGTAACTACAGGTATATATGAGCATGTACAATAGTAACTACAGGCATATATGAGCATGTACAATAGTAACTACATGCATATATGAGCATGTACAATAGTAACTACAGGCATATATGAAGGTTTACAATAGTAACTACAGGCATATATAAAGGTTTACAATAGTAACTACAGGCATATATAAGTAAGTAAGTTTATTCAGGTATACACAAATACAGTTACATAGAATTATCATACATAGCAGCATATGTGTAGAGAACCTGGGATAACACAAAAAAGTCAGACACAGTGACTTATTTCCATTGGGGTCCTTTTACCTTATTATTTTTTTATTATTATCACACTGGCCGATTCCCACCAAGGCAGGGTGGCCCGAAAAAGAAAAACTTTCACCATCATTCACTTCATCACTGTCTTGTCAGAAGGGTGCTTTACACTACAGTTTTTAAACTGCAACATTAACACCCCTCCTTCAGAGTGCAGGCACTGTACTTCCCATCTCCAGGACTCAAGTCCGGCCTGCCGGTTTCCCTGAACCCCTTCATAAATGTTACTTTGCTCACACTCCAACAGCACGTCAAGTATTAAAAACCATATATATGTGTGTGTGTGTGTGTGTGTACACACACACACCCCTCTGGGTTTTCTCCTATTTTCTTACTAGTTCTTGTTCTTGTTTATTTCCTGTTGTCTCCATGGGGAAGTGGAACAGAATTCTTCCTCCATAAGCCATGCATGTTGTAAGAGGCGACTAAAATGCTGGGAGCAAGAGGCTAGTAACCCCTTCTCCTCTATACACTACTAAAGCTAAAAAGAGAAACTTTCGTTTTTTCTTTTTGGGCCACCCTGCCTCAGTGGGATGCGGCCGGTTTGTTGAAAAAAAGAAAAATTGTTTAAGGGTTACAACAAGCAACTACAGATGTGTATAAGGGTGTACAACAGTAACTAGAGATGTGTATAAAGGTTTACAAAAGTAACTAGAGATGTGTATAAGGGTGTACAACAGTAATTACAGGTGTGTATAAGGGTGTACAACAGTAACTACAAGTGTGTATAAGGGTGTACAATAATAACTACACCTACCATCCGACTTACGACCGAGTTCGGTTCCGAGAAACCGGTCGTAAGTCGAAATGGTCGTAAGTCGAACTTTACTACTGAATATCAACAAAACATTTTTGTAATGACTTTATTTTATTGTTTTATTTTGGTATTTCATGTTTTACTTTACTTTTTATGCTGTTAGTACTGTATTTTATACTGTAAGGTTTAGGATAAACACTGTGTACAACACAAATAGTTGTTTATTTCCCAGGAATTTGGCATTAAAAACACGGTCGTAAGTCGGATGGTAGGTGTACAGGTATGAAATGATGTACAACAGTAACTATAGGCTTGTGTACTTGAACAGGTACGAGTTTATCAAGTGTGTGTCCAGCACACTGACAGAAGTTGGCATCCAAGACATGATCAATGGCCTGCATCAGCACAGTATCCAGCTGAAGGAAGGTCTCATGATCTACACCAGCGTGTCCCTCACCATGCATGACGAGGACCACCTGTCCACCCTTATTAAGGAAAAACTCAACTCTACCCTCAAAGTGTAAGCTTTTAAGTGGTTAAGGAAACTGTCAGGTTGATAATTGAGATTTTCCAGCAACTTTCTGGAGATGTTTTGCCAGGCACCGGCTTTGTTGTCCAGGTGTGTCGGTTATCAACCATTTAAGTACCTCTGATAGTTGTGTTAATGGTGTGGAGAAATAATGCTAAATACCTACATTATGGAGACAAGATGTTAATACAGTGTAAAAATCCTTCCTTCATTCACAATGTTTTGCCCAAGCAACGGACTTTTCATATCAGAAAAGCATACTGTATAGTCTTTGTCTAATTCTTTAGTCTTTTAGCTTTAGGAATAGTTTGCTTGAAATGCATCGCAATATTAGTGGATTTCTTTTGTGCCTAACACTTTTTTTTTTTTTTTTTTTTTTGCATGTAAATTACATTATTTTTGTACTGCATAAAAAGAAATAAATATCTGAATTTGAAATCTGAATTAGATGAGGTGCTTTGAAGCTTGCACCTTGGGTAGCCTTTAACCCTTTGACTGTTGCAGGCCCCTTTCTGAAACTGTCATTCTATGTCGATAAATTTTTGGAAAAAAAAAATTATTTTTTCTTATGAAATGATAGAGAATCTTTTCCTGATGGTAATGACACCAAAAGTATGAAATTTGGTCGAAAACTCACGGAATTACGCTCCCGCGAAGTTAAGATAAGATAGATAAGATTTCGTTCGGATTTTTAACCCCGGAGGGTTAGCCACCCAGGATAACCCAAGAAAGTCAGTGCGTCATCGAGGACTGTCTAACTTATTTCCATTGGGGTCCTTAATCTTGTCCCCCAGGATGCGACCCACACCAGTCGACTAACACCCAGGTACCTATTTGCTGCTAGGTGAACAGGACAACAGGTGTAAAGAAACGTGTCAAAATGTTTCCACCCACCGGGAATCGAACCCGGGCCCTCCGTGTGTGAAGCGGGAGCTTTAGCCACCAGGCCACCGGGCCACAAGTTAGCCTCTGCGGTCTCTACGACATATATGCATCAGCGATTTTGCCGACTTTTAGCCCTGTTTTTGGCCAATTCCATTATTCCAGTTGACCAAACTCATAGCTATTTCTTTAGAACTCCATTTTTTCTATCTATTGAGTACAAGAAACTACCCATTTACCAATTTTAACTGCCTAATAAAGTGGTCAGAAATTGGCAATTTGGCCAATTTCATGCAAATTAAAAAAGATGCCAATTTCAAAATAGGGTCCAGAATAAACAATGTAGACATTCTTGGCACTAAAATAACATATCCTCTGTTCATTAGTCACATCTCTAGGCCCCTCTTATATTACTATTGCTTTCTATTTTGATTTTTTATTCATACAAAAAAATACAAAATTAATGTTATGGAGACTACTGCATTATTGTAAAAATGGTATAAATAATATCAGTGCACTAGTAAAAGAATATTAGACTCCCCAGTTGAAGTGTATTGGACATGTGGTGTGAATTGTTTACTCCTGAACATTGGTAAAAATTGAACATTTCCGCTACTGTGAGCTCAATTTCAAGGTCGTTTTCATCGTGAAAGTAATCAAAATTATCTCTCTTTCTGTAATGTTTTCCATTTTATCACCTGAGACCATGAAAATGAGAATACAACAATAAAGACTATACAAAAATACACCTCAAAGTCGGCGTTCTAATCCAAAAAAACGGTCAGTTTTTTTTTTCTCAATACGCACTGCGTGCTGCAGTATTTTTTTATGTGGTGCACACTGACCACACAGACCTATTCTCTCACATGTGGGCCTACCAACTTTCTCCCGCTTGATTTGAAGCCACTAGAATTTACGCATATATATACAACCAAAACAGTCAAAGGGTTTTAAGAATGGTTAGCCAGATGTATGGGTGAGCAGAGTTAAATTTGATAAGGACATGTCTGGCAAGGGTCAGTAGGCCTTCTGCAGCGTTCCATTCTGTTGCTATGTGAGGAACTAATTTTTAAGTTTCCCAACAAGAAGCTGAAACCAAACTTGATTTATAACCTGTGAATGCCCTCTTCGATTGTCTCAAACTCTTAAGTATTATTACTGTACCAGGCAAAAGGGTTTATGAAACATTTGGCACATTCAGGTGTCCTGTGGTTAGTTATGAAGCCACTATGTTGTAGAGACTGGCTCAAGGCCGGGCTCTGGGAGTAGAACAGCTCAGAACTCGTCGAAGGTTTATATGTCAAACATTGTGTTTGAAATTGCTTGATATGCTGAGAGGGCTGATTTTAGGATCCTGGGTTTCTTTGTGTTTTCTTTGTTAATGAGTTGAATGCCAGTGTAATTGACCAAGTAGGTTGTTGTAGTTTCTCTGTGAAACACAGGCATTATTGTGGCACCTGGTCTGGTGTATTGGTGTTCAGAAATCTCTGTGTGGAGGTTTCTCGATGTGTAACTCATGTATACTATTTGATTACAGTTGTTGTAAGGAATGATGTGTATTCTTGCAGTGGTTTTGATGGGCATATGCATGCACACACACACATGCATGCACATGTGTGCACATGTGCATGCAACCTGCAACCACAAATTGATGAGTACACACACACACACACACACACACACACACACACACACACACACACACCACACACACACACACACACACACACACACACACACACACACACACACACACACACAGGAGGTGTGACTTGACCCCTGCAACCACATATAGGTGAGTACACACATGCACCCACCCACTGGCCATTTCCCACCAAGGTAAGGTGACCTGACAATCAAGAAATACTTTCACTAGCATTCACTCTATCAGTGCCTTTCCAGAGGCATGCCAATACAGGTCCTCCATCACAAATCCGGCATCATTGGGACCTGTAGTGTGCTGGATTACTGAGTTTGCCAGATTACAGAGTGGTTAAGTTAGAATACACTTAATAAAATTAACCAACTTGACTTACACAGTTCATTGAACATCGGCAAAAATCAAACATTTCCGCTACTTTGAGCTCAATTTCAAGGTACTTTTCATCATGAAAGCAATCAAAATCATGTCTATTTCTGTAATATATCTTCCATTCTATCAAATGAGTCCAAAAAAATGAGAATACAACCATAACCATACGAAAATATACTGCAAAGAGGCGGCTAATGGCTGAGAAGTGAACTCCCTTATTTATCGTCCGTCTTTTTTATTTCTGTTGTACGTTAAGAAGCATCTTTCCATCATACATTGCCCAAGTTTCAATGAGATAGCCCAACAAACAACCGAGAAAAAAAAATATTTACCAAAAATCATATATGGCAAGTCCAAGCCAGGTACTGGAAATAAGTCACTTTGTCTGACTTTTCTGGGTTATCCTAGGTTCTCTATACATGCTATGAGTACAAGGATGCTATGAGTACAAGAAACCACCCATTCACTTATTTCAACTACCCAATAAAGTGGCCAGAAATTGGCAATTTGGCCGATTTCACACAAATTTCAACAGATGCCTATTTCAAAATAGGGTCCAGAATAAACAATGTAGACATTCCTGGCACTAAAATAACATTTTCTCTGTTCATTAGTCATGGCTACAGGCCCCTCTTATATTACTCTTGCTTATCATTTGGAATTTTTATTCACAAAAAAATAGAAGATTTACTGTTACTGTTTTTTGTTTCAGGTTTATGGTGCAGTATGAGTGTATATCACAGTTAGCCCTGTGCTATACTCGTTTTCTCTAATGTAAGCCCCCAAGACAGGGATAGGAGAATGGTATTTATATACCATATCCTCTTCATACCTCCGTTGATCCACTCGGTATTATGCCAAATATTATTCATTCTAGTGTTTTACAATGTTTTTGTTATTTATATTGTTTGTTATGTCATAATAGATCAGTTGTGATAGGTAAATAAGCTGTAGTGCTGATATTAGTGTAATAATAAAGCATATTCCCCTGCATCACGAGGCTGAACTCATGGCAACCGACAGTGGCTTCAAAGCCGCCTTATCTTTTATGGACAGTGTACTGTGTTTACCTGGAGAGTTTACCTGGAGAGAGTTTCGGGGGTCAACGCCCCCGCGGCCCGGTCTGTGACCAGGCCTCCTGGTGGATCAGCGCCTGATCAACCAGGCTGTTGCTGCTGGCTGCACGCAAACCAACGTACGAGCCACAGCCCGGCTGATCAGGAACTGACTTTAGGTGCTTGTCCAGTGCCAGCTTGAAGACTGCCAGGGGTCTGTTGGTAATCCCCCTTATGTGTGCTGGGAGGCAGTTGAACAGTCTCGGGCCCCTGACACTTATTGTATGGTCTCTTAACCCTTTCAGGGTCCGTCCCGTAGATCTATGGCTTTACGGTGAGTGTCCAAACCGTAGATCTACGCCATGAGCTCAGCTCACTCTGATAAACTGTGAGTGGTACATTTGGGCCTAGATATGAGAGAATACATCTATATGGTATGTGTGCACCACATAAAACAGATCCTGCAGCACGCTGTGTATAATGAGAGAAAAAAACTGAAATCATGATTTTTCGATTAAAACAGCGACTTTGCAGTGTTTTTTCATGTGTTTTTTATAGTTCTATTTGCGATTTCTTGGTCTCATTTGATAGAATGGAAGACATATTACAGAAATAGAGATGATTTTGATTGGTTTTAGCACTGGAAATGGCTTGAAACTGAGCTCAAAGTAGCGGAAATGTTAAATTTTTGCCGATATTCAAGAGTAAACAAACGACCTGACACATCTAATACACGTCAGCTGGTGGGTCTAATATGCATTCGCAAATATGGTGATGATATTTATACAATTATTACAGTATTGCATAACAGTAAAATCTTCTATTTTTTGGTGTGAATAAAAATTCATTATGTGAATAAAAAATCAAAATGGAATTTATTTGTAAAGCCTCAAAACATAACTAATGAACAGAGGAAATGTTAGTTTAGTGCCAGGAATGCCTACATTGTTTATTCTGGACCCTATTTTGAAATTGGAATATTTTGAACTTTGTGTTAAATTGGCCAAATTAACAATTTCCGA